GCCACCAGTAGAACTCGAGGCGAATTCGTAAGCTTTCGACGTGGATGGAGACTTCAAGGAATTTCGATATTCTTCGAAGTATCGTAATAATAACTCGGGGACATCCTGGAGTGCCTCTGTCGTGTTCGGATCTTATTAAATTTTTCGATAGTATTTCGACATTCGTGGATTGCCTTGTTGTGCAAGAGAAATGGTAATTACTGTAGCACAGTGTATAATAGATATGTTATAAGCTTCCACGAAATTTTAATAATTATGAATTTAGTTGAAACTTTAACAGAACATTCTTTAAAGCTTCAACTTTCGATTGGTACCGAAAAATTGCAAGGTCAATGATGAAATTATTGTAAAGGAGACTTTACAAACATTTCTTCTCACCACGAGCCTCTTGGAACTGTAGTTGATAGTCGAAGATTAAGAATTTCTTATTTAGATACAGCAAATGATATTTTTATCAAAAATTAGATGGTTATAAGCATTAACTGTGAAATACCCTGTATAATAGAATTGTTTACATTGTGTCAATAGATACTGGAGATTATCTAGTATCAAGAGTCTATATTCATTCAATATAAATATAATTACAATATAAAATGGATTTTCTATTTATTTCGTTGTGGTTTGTATGAAATCCTATTTGTATCGCATCGTGTCAAGGAAAAGTATCGAGACTCGCGATTATTCTAATTATGTGCTCGAGGCGCTCAGGCAAAGACGTCCTCGATACTCCAAGATTCTCAATAATCAATACGAAGAATTCTAAGAAATTCGAGTAGAACTCGAGCACCAATTTCACGCAGAATCTCCGAGACGAAAGAAATAGAAAGGAAAAGTACCAATTAACATAATTCTATAACAATAACATATTGCGTTAGATTTTTGTAATCGATTCGACGTGTAAAATCAGCTTTCAATTTCAAGGTGCTGTTATTCCTTTTCTTCGCAAAATAGCACAACAAACAGATTAACCCGTGGCCTCACAAACTGTACAACACCTACCCCACGTGATCGAAAAATTAAATAAAATATTCAACCCGAAAGTGTACAAGACATCGAAAAATCGAAGTTCTTTCTTGCAATCGATCACGCTTCATACTTTCTATAATCGCCATGAACCTATTCTTCGCTTATGTAACACCGTCACCGGCCAATTAACGGCTCAAGTTCGTTGTAAACCATCTGTCCCAAGGCCAGGTGTCTCGAGACTCAATCGCAATAGACCCAACCAGAAATTTCACAAGTTCCTCGGTGGGTGGACATGCAGTTCAATTTGCTAATAACGAAGGAAACTCGGCCATAGAAGCGAGAACGTTCCGACGAATCGAAAATCAATAAATCCGCCACGGAAGAGGGACAACGATGCATCACGGTCCGGGATTCTGTCGGAGCCGGGATTGCTACGTCGATCAACGCCGCCGCTCGTCGCCACCCTCGAGGACAACCCTTTCGTTTCGTCGTGCAGTCAGGTGATCCCCGGCAAATCTGCGCATGCAAATCGTCGGTAAACGACAATCAACAGGTGCTGAAAGGTCAACGGGCCATTAGGTTCGAATCCAAGCGGCGGTATTGCGAGTCGTCTCTCGCTTTTGCGGAACCATCTGACGTTCATTAACGAGGGATCGGGACACTTTTCGTTGCTTAAATGAGAACTCCGCTCACTGGAGAATATTAATCCAGCTTTGGTGGCTCGATGGCTGGAAGTGACGTTAACGGTGAAGTTTCTGGTAGCCATTTAGCGTGGTTGCAGATGAGACTGACCTTTAGCTTTAGACACCATTCTTTTGTGATTTTGATCTTTGGAGTATGAATTTTATATCCGAAATAGGTGATATACACAATGGGCACATCTTGAATAATTTCTATTATATGTATGAAATAGTTACTACATGATGTAATTTCGAATGTCAATAGTTACCTCACACAGTATAGTAAATAAATATACATGCTTAAATTGTATACAATCAGCAAACATAATGCATATCAATAACTATTTCTGTGAAAGAAAACAGCACTCGAACAAATAGGTACTGTATAGACATTAAAGGGTTATCCTACTTTGGATCCCAAAAATAAAAGCTATTCTTTGGCAATTTTTTTTTTATCCAAATAGTGATATAAATGATAAATCTATTTAAATCCAATGAAGAATCGTGTACTCGAATTTTTCACCAGACGAAAAAATAATATCATCGTTCAGGATATATTTGAAAAGTCGCAAATAAAACGTCCGAGCGAACAAAGTGCGCAACGACCACAAAGACGAGAGTACATTTCCTATATTTCCCTCCCATTGCCCCGTTCCAACAACCTCATTAACCCGCCAGAATATAAAGGCGTCCGTGTCGCCACAAGGACCATCGGCGGAACACAGAAATCGCGATGCTCGAAAACTCAAGTAGGTCACACGGTTCTCCGTCGCACGCTCCTTTCATCCTGTCCAGTCGCTCAAAAACCGAGCCGACCAATAGAGATACAGCCCCCGGCGTTGAGTACGTCTCGCAGCAGCCGGATGAAATAAAATTCCACGGGTGCAAAACGTCGAAACGCTGTAGAGAATTCACAGCTCGACGTCACCGCCGGAAGGGGTTAAGCTTCGTCCAACAAATTGACTGTAAAATGCAGAACGTCGCGCGAAGCCAAGTCGCAAAAACCCGGTGAAATACTAACTCTCCGGGGATCCCAACACCCTTGCTGCACCCTTTGCGGTCCTCTTCGAAGCTGGTGTAATTCGTTTTATCGATACGATGCAGAAGGTAACACGGTAAAGCCCTCGGGCTATCTCGCCCGGTTCTCGTATCCACTGTTGTCCTTCCGACGAATTATCTCTCGTAAAACGCACGAGTCGATGCGCCGCAAACGATAGCCGGCAAACTTTACGAGGCACACCGACCGCGATACGCTGCGCACCGTGTCGGATTTAGGAGCGGAGCTCCTCTGTCTTTTGTTAACGCGATACCGGCACGAGGTTTCACGGCACGTTTTAGAGACTTTTTGACTGCCCATGATTCATTGTTTTTCAGTGGGTTCCTGTTACTAAAAGCCGTCTGACTTTTAGAAGATTTCGAGGGTTCCACTCGAGGAGATTAGTGACGAGTTTTATTCGTGTATTCTATTTTCGTTCGCTTTGCGGTGCAGTAGACTCGCGATAGTTACCCGCACTTGAGGCTGTAAAGGCGGGCTGTTCTAAGAACGGGTAATTAGCGAGAGTATATAGCACCTTCTTGCAGGTCGGTCAACAAACGACATAGACTAATTATTGGTTACAGAAGACGACAGAGAGGGAATTCCTAAGGGATATTTATTCAACAGGCAATTATCGCGAGTCTACTGTAAATGATTTCGTTTCTAGGAACTTCTTCGTTTCAAATTTGAATCAATTTGTAAGGTTGTATTGTTAGTTCTTCATTGTTTTGTTAATTGGAGCAAGGGTGTTCAACGTTTATTCTCTGTATTAAGCGTGGGGCAACTTCTGGTATGTTTGTATGTAAAGAAGAATAATCAAAGAATAACAAACTAAATTTCAACATTCTCGACTTTCAACCTGGATTCTGTCAACTTTCTCTATATCTGAGAAGCTTCTTTGGAGAAGAAAGAACACGTGATCATTGCATCTGTTCTAATAGTGCAGCCACAGTCAATAAAAAAGTTCATCAAGAATTTATTCGATTCCATCATTCCTAAAATATAAGAAATAGTAAAATTATAATTCGCTTTCTGGTACGACAACCTTAAGAACTGCGTCGATGAAGCACGTAACCATAAAGTAGGGTGTTCCTTATTTTAAAAGAAGGAATTCTTTGCTCGATCGGTACCGGAAGTCAGTGATACATCGCGAGTGCCGCTGAAGAAACGAAAGCTTGAGAAACGACAGTAATGCGGCGGCGTATAAATAATGTAACTTATCTACGCTCGCCACGCATTTTCGCCGGAGCTGGCGTATTATGATAATCCTATTCAGAGCTGACGGGTCGCGTTCTCGACGACACGGGAAAAATATCGGTGACAAGTGTTATCTACAGCCGGTCTGCGATTTTTCTATTTGTAACAGACGAAAAGTCAGTCGCCTGAAATTGAAGTTTGTTGTATGAAATACGTAATGAATGGTTTCAGTATTGTTTAACTACTATTTATATACTGAGTAGATACTCGTATTATTTCATCACTGACAGCAATAGTAATGAATCTGTAATTAGAAATGTTAATACACAGAGGTTCGTGAGTCCATTTCAATATTATATACCTACATATTGCCCGTAACTTGCGACAATTTATAAGTTATTTGCAATTCATACTATTGTTGATATTACGCAATAGATATTGATTTCAATGAAATTATAATACAATTACTGTCTTCATTAAATACCAGCAAACTCTTTGAATAAATATTTCAGTGATACAAATAACATGTTCTAGTGTAACAGATTTATGAAAAATTTTACATTAAATGCACTGGGAGACAATTATAATTACCCAATTGTTTTATTTGCACATTAACCCACACAAAAATATTTTGAGTTTCAATTTCCATTGACGAAACATAATAATATTCCAAAAGTATAATTATTGCACTACCGATTCGTTGTTACAAGCACATTCTTCATATATTTCACCGTTTTAGAACTTAACAATTCTATTCAAAACCGACCAAACTTCATAAATTAACCAAAAACGTCTGTCACATATATATGACGACGGGTTCTAATAACAAACCGATGTGTCACACACATGTGACGGCTAGTAGCGAACGAGTTAAATGCACAGATTGAAATTCACTACTTAAGTGAATTTCAAGAATATTGAATTAATGCTTCCCAAGAAACACAAGCACGATGTAATTGACGCTGTTCCTATAACATAAAGAGAATGCAGAAACCGTCGAATAAATGACTAATGAATGAAATACAAAGCGATAAATTACATCCTGCCTAGTTACGTTCACCTGACAGATACACGAGGATTGCCGCACGATTAACACGTACATCAATTATTTCTTTCGACAGTTGTTCATGATCGATAACTGCGCGGACGATTGGCGGATCACGATGACCTGGCAGAGGATCGCGCAGATTACACTCGAGTTGGTAATCTGCGCGATCCACCCGATCCCAGGGGAGTACTACTTCTTGTGGACGACCAAGCTGGCGAACAAGGGCGGTGACTTCGGCTCGAAATGGGTACCTTACGACGTCACCCTCTCGCTGCCGATGTTCTTCAGACTCTACCTCATCTGTCGCGTAATGCTGCTGCACTCGAAGCTGTTCACCGACGCCTCGTCCCGCAGCATAGGGGCCTTGAATCGTATTAACTTCAACACCAGGTTCGTCTTGAAGACACTGATGACCATCTGTCCGGGCACCGTGTTGCTAGTCTTCATGGTCTCGCTATGGATCATCGCTTCCTGGACGTTACGTCAATGCGAGAGGTAAAAACCACAAATCTCCTTGGCCACGAAAAACGAATTCAATGGTCGGACATTAAAGACCCTATATTATACAGTCACTCCTAGACAGCGGATGTTTAGGAAATTACAGGGTGTTAATAAAAGTGTGCGACACTTTCAGAGGGTAGATTCTAAGTCCTGACGGATTTTCCCAACGATGTTAGTCAATACCGATCTGAATGTGTTTTTTAATGTTAATTTTCCAGCTGTGGAAGAAATTCTTAAAGAGCAATTATTTTCTTAAAAATGTTTTCAAACGAATTCCGCTGGGAATTACTCTCACATCCACCAAATTGTTGCCAAAATTGAAAAAACCTTTACGTCATGGACGATTTCAGGATTTAAATGACTCGATAAAGAGACTCCCAAAAAGTTTCTTTCAGATGGCCTAAAGAGACTGGTCTCGCTCTGGGACAAGTACATCCAGTTGAACAGAAATTATATCAAAGAATGACAATATAATACTGAGGAAAATTAATCAAACAAACTATTCATAACACAATTCCCAGAACTTTGGAAACATCCCTCGTATATTGAATTATGTAGCCACAAATGCACGAACTCTACCGTCTAGCTGTTGCGTATTTCTCCCCTATGCAATTTCTATCGGATTCTTCGAGCTTCACCTTTGACAATTCCGTCGTCCCGTGCAAACACCCTTTCCTCCCTGTCATCGGTTTACTTTCAAAAGGGGTCAAGGCTGTTTATTCTCCCCGCTAAAACCGAAATTACGTTTCCCGTTAGCCCAACAAAACCGTCCTTCCACCAGAAGGCGGGTCTCGGGTCCCAAGTATCGTGGAGGGTGTTAACAGCCTCCGGAGGCAAATGTTCCCCTGAACAAAAGCATAAATCTCATCTGGGGGATGTATCGGACAGGAAGTAGACTCGTTGTTAAATCCGGCAGTGGAGGATTTAGTGCTGGGGCGCCCGAGATTGTCGATCCGCGCGTGTAATTAAATTCTCTCACGAATAGCAGACAGCCGATTTAGGGAATCGCGAAGAGAGGTAGATATAGGAACAGGGACGATCAATCTTACGGGCCAATTGAGGTTTTTTGCTGGTATCTCGCCCGCGAGTAATCACAGAGATCCTAAAAGATATTCCTTTCTTTCGCGTGGTCCCGACATAGAACCCTCGGGTTTCTTCCTCCCTCTACTGGTGAATAGACGACTTCCGGTCATACTTCGTTGAATGAAACCGGGGGTGTTAGCTCGATCCGCTCGGCTGGATAAAGGACCATCGATGAATTTTCAATCGGTTATAGAAGCTTCTATTGGCTTCTTCATGGTGGATTATTGGTACATCTAATATTATTTTCTAGTGTCACTTCCGTAAAGTAACGGAAAAAGGAATTATAGGGTTCATTGTTATTACTTAAAATGTTACTCTTTATATTTGTATAGCGTAGAAGTAAACGATACTACCGAAATTAATTATATCGTCATTACTATATACGAGGGGTGTTTCCAATGTTCTGGGAGTTGTGTCATAAATTGTTTATCTTATTAACCTTCGTCCACATTACACTATAATTTTAAATATAATTTCCTTGTAACTGTAGGCACTTGTCCCACTGCGAAATTAGTTTTTTTTAAGCCATCTGAAAAAGTTTTTAAGAGTCCCTTCATTAAGTCATTTAAATTCTGAAATCGTCCACCACGTAGAGGTTTTTTCAATTTTGGCAACAATTTGATAGTTGCTGGGTGTCTCATCAGGCGAATATAAGGAAAAATAATGACTTTTTAAAAACTTACTTCTTCCATAGTTGCAAAATTAACATTTGAAAACACATTTATGTTCGCCAAACGGCTGAATTAATCTAATCGGCATTGACTAACATCGTTGGGAAAATCTGTCAGGACTTCTCTGTACCTACCTGAAATCATTAGTCACTACTCCTGCATTATAAAAACAAATGGCATATCTGAAAACTTTGGAAACACCTCTCGTAATTCTTTATTACCCTCGTCAAATAGAAATAGTTCTGTATAACAGCTTCTGCTTTCAAACGACGAATCGTCACTCCGTTCACCGTTTCTCCATTCTTATCTCAAGCTTAAAATTCAACAAAGTAGCTTCTCCCACGCAAATGTAAGAATTGTTAAACTTTTACGCTGCAATTGCAAAGATAATCGTTATCTTTCTTTCGTCCGTCAAAATTCCAGTCCAAGACAGCATTATCCGAACGACAGTGTCCTCCGAGTGCATGAAAAGCTCCGTTTCGGTTTTTACTTCCGGTTTTATCTCGTTCTCCGTGGGATTTCTCTGACGGTATCGCGCGGGGAATTAGAATTTTAGGCACGACGGACACAAAAGGTCGATGCACACACTCTCGAGAAGAGACGATTGTGGAAATAACCTGGGTCCCCCGAGATTCTCAGATTCGCAAAGACGACACGAAAGCTGCTTGGTCCCCCCTCTACCCGCGTACTATGGAAAACGACGACGACGGCGGCGTCGGTATTTTATCCGGATCTCTCCCGACGTGGCAGTAAAGTTCGAAGGACACTGTAAATTTCGCGCGCGGCGAAATAACGGCGCGATGTCGATGGAGTCGTCGGAGCTATCCCCTCGCCCGGGACAGAATTTATGGGAAACTTCTCCAAAGATGATGAAATTACGAGCTCTTTATTCCGCGGCGAACGAGTCGACGTGATCAGCTCCGATTCCACCGAATCGCGATGGCACTTTAATGGCGACGCGCAGTACGTTTTTAGTGTCCAATAATAATTTAACTTTCGTGCGTGACCTGGATCATTCGAGGCCTCCGTATGCATTTTCGTCCGATATTCTACTGATTTTGTTACATTTACAAAGTTCTATAATATTCTAGGTATTTGAACACCTTGATTGTACATTTTTGAAAAACATATATGTATTTACAGGAGTTTATAAACAGCTTGATATACTATTATTTTATAAAACCTATTCATAAGAGACATAACTTACTTTTACTCTCTATATTATGTGAACCGAAAGTGGTGCAAATGGTGAGCAGAAATACGGATATTTAGAGCATTGTATTTAATTTGTCATTATTAATAATTCAACATCTAAAAATATCTGTTTTAAATATTTTTTTAATTATTTAATTTATTATCAAGGAATTAACCAATTTTCTTCGCAAATTTTTACCATAAACAAATTTTGTACACCTCATTTATGACGAGTAAACGCTCAGCTGGGTAGAAATTGGGACATTTACTGTATTTAAAGTTACAAATGGACTTTGATAGCCCCACCAGAAATTCCGACAAGTGCCCAAAGGTTCGTGATAACAATTCCGAGGAGGTGGATGAAGGATTGTTCGCGCCAATAAATGTCACTTCCGCCTCTCCATTTGCATGGGGGTGGATATAATATTACGCGAAAGCAACGCATCAGCGAAACTTTCATCGTTGTTAGCAAACCGCGGCTATTTTAAAAAAGTAACGACCACAGCCAGCTTTCATCTTCCAATTTATTCAACGCCAGGGGAGATACCGTGTTTCTTGCGAATTTCCGAAAATTTCATCATCGACCGCGCCGTTTCGCGTTCCCGTTTCCGCCGTTTCAATTATTTTGAAAGGGAACCTCGCGTTTATAGCTCCACCGAATACCATCAACCATCTAATCCAATCGCCCAGTTTAATGCCTGGAATGTAATTAAGAAAGAAAACCGCGTCGATCGAAAAGCAAACCGGTCTACAGTTACACTTTTAACGAATAATATCGACGAACGTCGGGATATCGATCTTTTCGATCGATTCAATTGACAAATTTGAACAGACAAACCTGAAAGTAGACGTTGAATTGAATCTGTTGTAACACTACCTGTCACATTAGAAACAGCTTTGCTTAAGGATTAATCCCCGCTTGTTATTTTCACGTTCCATTTCCGATAATGAATTTCGTGGACAGGACCAGCTAAGTGCGACACTTGGTTATGAGCATTCTAACGAACGAGGAAATCGGGATGTAATGTAATCGAATTATTGTAACGGGATTCCTGTAATCAAGCCTTTATGATTGATTCGATTCAACGAGAGAAATTAAACTCTGTCGGAATGAATACTTTGTGGTGAATCGGGAAATGGGATTTATTGTTGGAAAGTCTGTAGACAATAGTGTCTTCAGTAGTCAGTTATTAGAAGCTGAAAACGTTGAAGGTATATAGAAAGAAAAATGTCTCCTGTCGAAGAAGCTGTAGACAATAGCGTCTTCGATAATTAGCTACGTGGCATTCAAGATACGCGGTCCCAAAAGTTTTCGAACTGAAATTAAAATTGACACAAACCGTGTAGAGTGGATGCACCAGTAAATGAAAACCTATCAGTGAATGAACATTATATATAAAAACGAGTAAGAAATTATTAAAATAAACAAATGATTAAATATTGATTTTTTTCAATTCCTTGTTTCATATTCAAACAATTTTCGCGCCACTGGTTAGAAATGTTCATTTACTTATTACTGTTGATTCACTGATGAAATCTGTATTTACATTTTTCCAAATGTTCAAATTGAAATCTGTACGTTATAAAACGGTACAGATATTAAAAAATCTAATTTTCATAGGCCAAATATCTATTAATATTATTATCATTTAAAATTCGACTTCAGTAGTTCCAAAATCTCTTAAATGTTCATTCATTCGCGCGTTTACCCTGTATAGGAAAAAAAATGTGTCCACATTTTCAGCTTATTCGTAAATCAGCCAAGATTGCGACGAAATTGCGCCGTTCTCCCCGGGTAACAGAGGCGAAACACATTTAAGCCGGCAGGAAATATGATTATTCGTCGTCACCTGAACGTACCCTAATATTTCACCCCGTTTTCTCTTCTGTGGCACCAGGTTTCATGACGAGGAGCACGCGAATCTCCTTAATGCTATGTGGCTCATCGCTATCACGTTTCTGAGCGTCGGTTTCGGTGACATCGTGCCCAACACGTACTGCGGTCGAGGTATAGCCGTTTCCACCGGAATAATGGTAAGGCCAGACTCAAAGTTTAATACCGGACGTTCCCGCCGGCATTTGTAACCGCCCATGTGCTTGCTGCTATTAAGACGACTCGTTAACAGGACACGTTCATAAATGACGTACAAACAAATTCTCCCCCGAGAGTAGAATATTCCTCCTTTCCCGTCACTTTAAATGTTCCGTCTTAAACATTACTACACACCTTGATTGTCACATTTGTTGAGATTTAAATTTAATTCTACCATAGAATAGACTAGATTGTATAGAAATCGTAGTAGCTTGTAGATAGTATTATTACATATTCCAGGTTACTACATTTTTTGAACATCGAAAGATGCGTGAACAAAAAATGAAGAGAGATTTATGTTTCACCCTCTCTAAATACTCTTTCATTCGATTCAATCCACTCGTGTAAAAATTGTTCGAAACACCAGAAATTTTTACTGAAAATTGTATATTAGCGGAAGCTAACATGATACTTAGCGAGTACCGTGCACGTTGCATTGCGAGGCCGAGGGTTATCGACCACACAGAGTCGCGCCAAGTGGCAGTTACGACGCACTTGGACCGACGCTTCGTCACGATAAACGCTACACCCCGGGTCTAATCTCCCCATTGGGAGTCCAAATGGTTCCTTATTGTTATTGCACCTCTGCAGCACCAATGCTAATTCGCCGATTTAGGTCTCTCGCAGTCGTGAATCGTTAACCAATTTAGCCAGGTGTCGTCGTGGTCAATTTCCCGTGAAATTCAAGGCCTGACGATCCGCGTCTACCGCCGCGGAATTTCAACGATGCTTCCGGTTCTACGCGTTTGTCGCTTCTCTTGCTTTCCTTATTTGGGCTGATTCTTATAAAGCGATTAAGTTAATCAGTATGCAAATGAAAATTTAATCTAAGCTTTGCGTCGAAAGTCACTGAGACGTGGGACTCTACGAGTGTACGTCGCCATTTTGAAAGTCCTCTGAAATACTCTTCGACGTAGTCCTTGAGATTTTTTTGTTTTCTTAATGATTATGTAAATTTAATTTTATTATAATATATTCTTTCTGTTATTTGAACGTATATTGGCCGAATTTACGCCCGTTACAATAAATTATTATTATTATTATTATTATAAAATAAAAGAGAATTAGACATTTCAAAATGGTCGCTTCATAAGAATCACTCGACATCGAAGCCGACGCGATCTATCTTTTAAATTGACCAGGATATTGTCTATTCGTGGTTCGAGTTCTGCTGGCGGATCGGTTTTTTTGTGGTATTTTTTCCATTTGAGGACGTCGTTTAGTCTCGAGACAGGTGCATTACGCGTCCGTTCAAAGCTCAGCGTGGATGTAATTCTGTTCGGTGACTCGTAAAGGAGTAATCTGTCTGTAATTAAGGCGTAGTGTACCGTTGAAGGTGATACTTCATTATTTGCATCCGTGGCAACTTCGACAGTGAATGCAAGAGAGACAGCTTTAATGGGCCAGCAGGATTTTCTTAAGAGGATTGCTCAAACTGGGAAATAACAGAAGTTGAAATAAATCTCGCCGTGGTATACTCGCAGTTGCAAGCTCTGTCGGACAGATTATTAGGCAATTCCGAGGTCGCTAATTAAGAATACTTTCAAGAGAATTAATTCGTTCGAGAGTTAAGTAGCTCAAGGAAACATTAATTCAATTCATTAAGGTAACAAAAATTCCTACACGCAATAAGAGTGATTGAATATTTCCTTATTCCGAAATAAATTGCTCAAGAAACGAGTGACTTCAAAATTCTAAGCTTCCGCGATAACATCAAAACTTCATCCATAAATCACGTAAATTTCGATTAATAGTTTCAAGACTTTGGCTCCAGCTTAGTAGTTACAAGGTTCCAGTAGAACTTAACAGAATCATTTAGTAATAAGAAGACTTTAAAAAAAAAATGAAGTAAAAAAAACCAGTAGGTATCTAGATTCAAGTCTATTTCAAAAAAGCTACCTAGACGTTGATCGTAAGAAAGTACAACTCATTTTAAACCTAGCAGTAGTAGCCAGAAAAACAGTGTAGGGAGATCTCTGTTTCAATTCCATCGGGGACCGAATCGTTAAAATTTCCCTTACAACAATATTTGCCTAACGACGCGCTGTATCGCGAAATATCCAATGTTTTCTAAGAAAGTGGAGGGCGATTAAGGCGAAACGCAACAGATACAAAACGATTGCGATAGCAGACCGGTGGCGCAGCTGCGGCCCCCGGTCTCTGTTTCTTGTCTAGAGGCGGTCCTCGTAGTGGCAGGGAACTCCGAAGATTCAATTAAATTAGTCCATAATTAGCGCGCGGCTGCTAGTTCCGTAATTAAATGTACATCGGATAGCTTCCGAGTTCACAGGTACGTTTCAACGGTGTTTTTAGGGCGCCGGATGCACGGCCTTGCTGGTGGCGGTTGTTTCCAGGAAGCTCGAGCTCACAAGGGCGGAGAAGCACGTTCATAACTTTATGATGGATACGCAATTAACGAAAAGGGTAAGACGCCAATAAAAAAAAAAAAAGAAAGAAACTGCTCTGTACATCCTTCCGAGGATTGCCCAAGCATATACCGTACATACGTGTTACGCTGCCGCTCCTGTGACCGTGGTGTTGTCGAATTTTATCAGTTCGTGGCCTGCCCGCCAACCCCTTCGATCGCGTGAAAACAGAACGGCTAGTGGCGCTGCGATCAGAAATACTATCCCGCTTCTCGATACCTTCCTTCACGAAATGTGTTTGCTCGAGAAAGAATGGAGGTACTTCGATTGACTCTTTTTAAAAAGAAAAAGAAAGAAAAAATAGAACTTTAGTTTCTGCGGTGTGGAAGATAAAGTTGATTGTACTGGGGTAGCCCATTCAACTTGGCCACAAGTGATTTACCTTTTCTGGTCGCGATAGAAGGCAATGTTAGAGGAAAAGATTGAACGGTTCAAAGAAGATTAACTTAAACAATTGAAAAAGTATTCTGAAATTAAACTGCACTACTATGTTATTAACACCAGAACTACCAAACCCGTCAAAATGACGGATTATAGATTTCGTATTTTATGTTTACTGAAATTGTAATAATGCCTTTGATGGAATTGATTTTGGCTTTTAATTTGCTGTACACTTTGTATTATAATATTTTATGTTAGATTGTATTATATATTACTATATTATAAAATTTAATTTAGTATACATTTGATGCTGGTAGTTCTAGTGTTAAAACCAGAATGGATTACTTATTGGTATATCTAATGTTAAAGTAAAATGGTAAAAAAAATGAATAGTTTATGAGAAATTTTATTTAACCCTAGATCACTCAACTCTTCTGTGACTTACGTTATTACTAATCATTCATAAAAACTGTGACTGTGTTATAAGTACTTGTGATGGTCACACTTAATAATAATTCAAAGCTCAGACAGTAATTATTCAGCACAATTTGCATAAATATTGATAATATTGATGGCAACGAGTCGATTTCTGCAAACCACTAATTTAAGGTCGTAATTTTTACGATAGTTTAGTGATCTAGGGTTAAAATCATGTCCAAATTTAGTGTCCAAGATGATTTACAAGATACGCATTTTATGAAGGAAGCTTCGAGGAATGGGATAGCATTTCTTATCATAGGCTAACGGGTTACTTTATTTTTACGTGAACACCGGTTGACGGACAGCCGCACGAACCTCAAACTTTCACGTGACCAGCACAATGTTACTACGTATTTAGTGTCGTTCTGTCTAATGTTGTCGGAATTTTGTAACCGTAAAGTTCCCTTGTGTTAAGTTTAAGGGATATGTTTAGAAGTTCGTTGCTAAGAAACTGTTCTGTCCTAATTCAGGCCGTAGTGGAACAACGATGGGTATTAAGTTTCTGGTATGATTTCTTCGTGTTGTGATTCGTTCGATCACTGTTGTTTTGCTTTTAGAATGTTCGTTTGGTCGTTCGTGGCGTGACAAAAATCGTGAGTACACTGTATGTGTAGTCCTTTGAACGATTTCCTTTACATTTGTATCCGTACTACTTTAAAAATGCACAACAGACCTACATGAAATTAAAAAGAAAACAAATAACAAAAATATTCATATTTTATAAATATTTGACTTTGAGAGGTGTCCGTTGCAAAATTCTTTTCATTAATTGCAACAGCGTTGTTCAAACTGTACATTGAGAAATTAACACGCCCGACTGGATCAGTCGGTGTCCTTCAAACGCGCGATGAAAGCTCGTCAAAGAAATAGCTCTATAAATCATTCCTGGCAAGGTTCAATTAAGTTCCAACCCTGCTCAATTGCCTGCGACGTTCTTGAAAAGTCACGGAAATAGAACGCATTAATTACGTCGGGCTTGAGTCAAAGAGCCTGCGAGCACTCGTTGACCAAAGAAACTTTCAGAGGTGAATTAAAAGTTCTCAACGAATTACTTTTCACAATCGTCATACACCATTTCATTGCTCGCTGTTAATCATTGTTACGAAAAGTTTCGAGCAATTCGATAATGCCCAACTAAATACCATTTTTGGGTAAATATTTACAATAAAGGAGGTACCGATTTCGACGATTTCTTTTAATATGTTATCAAAGTCATCACCCTAAATGGTATCGTGAAGTTTTTAGTTAGGGGTCGCCGTTTTTAAAAAAGTTATTATTAATAAAAAGTTTAATATCGTGCTTCAGTAATATTCATAACTAAAATGACCGATGACCTTGACCTTAGCATATGTTGTCAAGGCCACCCTCCTAAGTGACCTTCAGGAAGTTTCAGTTATCAAATGTTGCTTAGTGAAAAGTTATTTAACTATCTCTAACCAACTATGAATGACTTTTTTTCCTGAACTCTGTCTAATTAACGACGACCTCCAACTAAAACCTTCACCACACTACTCAGAGTGATGACCTGGACAACATATTGAAAAATCATCAAAATCGGAAATGGCTCCCTTATCGTAAATATTTACCCCATGTTCGTATGTACAATTGGACAACGACAAATCGAAGTGATATAGTTCATCTTTATTAAAAATTGGAGAGTGTAACGATTTCACTCCAGCATTCAAGAGAATCTTTGAGGGAAAAAGGGACCGACTGCCATCGAGTTCACTGTACCCACCACTAGAGTCAGGTCTGATGTACGACCAGGTCGTCTAATGTATCATTGTCATTTTTATCCGTTCTTGATGGTCCAAGTGTCGCGATCGATCCGCCCAGGGGGTCAGACGTTGGTCCTCGAACAAGGGAATCGCATCTTACCGAGACAACGCCGCGGCGGCGTCGACCCTTCGTGATGTGGGTAAAAAACATGAAAAATGAGGGGAAGAAGATCAAACGACGAGGGACCGGGTCAGGTTCCTGAAACTTATTTTCCGAATCATTCGAACCAGTTGAACCTTGGTATTATAATTCGACGAAAAAATTCGTTTCTCGTTGTGTGCATTCGTTTTCTTTCTGAGCTTATGGACAAAATTTCGTGTCACTTATTAATGCAATGGATTTATTCTAAGCATGCAGGGTTTATAAAGTATTCAGGCTCGTTTGGAGTGGACGAAATGGCATGTGAACGACAGCCGTCTCGTTTCTGCATCTCGATCGATGACTTTTGAATTAAGAAACAGCAAACCACGGAAATATTAAAGTATCGCGACTGATAAAGGTTACACGGTCAAGAAATTTCTATTTTTAAGTGTGCCACCATATATTTAAATATGACCGTGGAAACAACGGTTCCATTGTTATCGTTTCCTATTACGCTTGTTTTCCATTGCGATCTACCCGTTCCAGGGTTTTTGGACATTTTGGAAATTGAAGTTTACCTGGCTGTCCTGGCGGAATTCAAAAGGTGTAGAGCCCTTTTTCTGGATAGTACTCTCTGGCGACAAACATGGGAGGAGAGTGATTTGAAGTCTCGATTAGGGACTACAGAAACGTGAGGCTGGAGAATACTGTGGAGTTTCGGTAATCTGTGTTCTTTTTAACCTTATTTCAACCCTTAAGGCTACGGACCGTGAACATGCTTTTTCTTTTTTCGTAATTTTGAAAGGCAGTAGCAAGCTTTTTGTTTATCTTTTCATTTAATAATTTTCTATTCTTAATGGCAGATAATTAAAACTAAAGGTAACATTTTTTGAGTAAAAAAATATTAAAAAATGGAAGACTTCTCCGTACTGACGATATGTGGAATACACCGCCCGTGCCCTTGAGGATTAATTTCGTATAGCAGTTAATTTTCAGGGTACTATAAATGGTGAGTAGAAATGTTAATCCTAAAATTAACGTGGGAGATATTACGGCTAGGACTTCATCTTGATTCTGAACTGAACAACAGTTTTTAATAATTAAGGTTGAATAACCTTGAGTATCCTGGATGCCCCCATTTATGAGCTAATAATATTTCTTCTGTATTTGTAATATTTATTATTCTAATGGGAAGAATTATATTACAGAAGAATACAGTGTACATAGTCGTGAAACCTCTCATTTTGTTGAACCACAACATCGTTCTCCCCGGATTATCGAAACTCCATTGTAATAGTTATTCTCGCCTGTCATTAGAAACATTCTCAACTAATTAACTGCCTACCAATCATCTAACAACCCCTAAAATAAATGCCTTAATTTTTAGCAACTTTCAAGGTAATAAAGAAGAAGAGACCAGGTAAGAGAAATCAGCCGATTATTACTTGTATTTACAATCAAGAACAGTAACTGTCACACGAATGAAATAGACGAACAATCTCAGAAAGGAAACAACTGCACGCTTGTCAAACAAATCACCAAAGTCATGTTCATTTTTCAATGTACACCCCGAACTGCTATCCACCATTTTACCCCCAGATTCAATTGAAAATAAAATTGCATTAATTTCACTGCTATTTTATAGATTCGATTTAAAATTAGATAAACACAAAGTATCAAATGTAATGTCGTTACAAGAACACAGAACTACAGAGAGACCTGTGGACGTCGATAAATTCAACTAAATTATTTAAGATCAACAACAACACGAAGGAATATAGGCCGACCAATAGCCAACGGTGTGTCACGAGAAGAAAAACACACGGTCCGGGATATAACCGCGATGCCAATAATCTGTTACAGCTGAAAAACGCCGCGGCGAACGTGTTGCGCGAGACGTGGCTAATTTACAAATACACACAGAAGGTGAAACGTGTCAATCCGGGACGTGTTCGAACGCACCAGCGGAAGTTTCTGTTGGCTATATACGCGTAAGTGAATAAAGCGACACCTGATCGACACCCGCGCTCGACCTATAACCCCGGGACAATTAATATTCGCATCCGTAATGCAAACTTTCAGACTCAGGAAAGTCAAAATGGATCAACGAAAGTTAATGGACAACGCCAACACGATCACGGATATGGCCAAGGTACTCTTACAGAAAATTAATTATCGCTACGTGTCCACGTGAGAGTAGATATTCATCAGTTCGGTAAAAGTGACACGCCTATTGTCTCGCTACGACTGCCTTCTATTCTGAAATGTAGACGCTCTCACGTTGACACGTAGCCCAGAGTTCAATTGAACATCGCGTTGAACAACTGCTGGTTCTATTTCACGAGCGAACTCTTCGTTTGTACGCCATTCGGGAGCCCAATTGAAAACCTCGGAATCCATTGTTTCGGTGTACCTACATGACGCGATGATAAATTGGAAGCCGGTATTGGTCAATCGTGGTTCCTATTCAGAAAATACAACTGTCCGAGTAACCGAAGTTACAATATCCGGACATGTCTCTAGCGGGTTCGACGGAAGAATCAACTTCGTTAGAAGAGAGGACACCTACAATTCTGTCTCTATACAGAATCTACATTCGATACTCCATTCTTTGCTTACTCCACTGTTATACATCCACTCTTACGAATTGGAATAAAGGATCACGTATTTGAATCTATTCTTTTCTCACATGAATTCGTTTCTATCATCATGGAGATTATCCACAATCATTAAGAACACTACTCCACAAATAGAATATACTGCAGTTTTACCACTTATACAAGGTGAGGCACCGAAAACAGGCCGCCTGAATATCTCGGCTGTTACTGGTGATAGAAGAATATGTGTCAGACCAAACTTGCATGGTATCTAGGAGCACATAATTTGACGTGAATAGTTTTTCGATAGATGGACGCGTAGAAGTTATACGAAGGTCAACTTCCTTTTTTTAAATAGAAAGACATGTTTTTTTACGTACCTTCATAAATAGGTCATTGTACACGTCTTAAACGCTCTACTAGATGGTACGTGAAACAACATGTCTTTCCATTAAAAAAAAACGATATTGACCTTCACATGACCTCTACACGTTCACCTATCAAAAAAACTATTCACATCAAATTATGTCTTCCTCGATACCATGCAAGTTCGATCGGACACACTTTGTTTCTATCATCAGTAACAGCCAAGCCAATCAAGTGGGCTCTCTCAGGTGCCTCACCCTGTATGCTTCTACCCAAACGACGATCACCCCGACTAAGCCCACACCTTCGTTCCCATAAAATTTAAACCCCGACGAGCAGTAGTACAGCTCACTTCTCCGTGCAACGAGTAGCCCACAATTTAATCACAATGTCCCTTCCCTAACTATCCTTCTCATACATCCTTCCCCCTTAGCCACCAGCAGACACTAACCGCTAATCTGACTTCCCCAAACAGACGCAGAACGCGGTGTACGAGATCGTCTCGGACATGAGCAGCCGTCAGAACGACCTCGAGAGCCGTCTGGAGGACCTGAGGGTCTGGCAGCTTGGCCTAGAAGATAAACTGTCCGGCCTTCAGGGTCAGCTGATGATGCTGCCGGAGGAGCTGACCAGGTGCCTAGACCAACATGCCGAGCGTATAGACAAGAGACGGAACTTCCTTCACCCGGACACCGCGGTCCCGATGACGACATCTGGCGGCGGTGGCGTTGTCTGCGTATCTCCTGGGAACAGCCTCTCCCCAGTGATACCAGGCGAACCAAGCAAACCAAACGCGCCCAGCACCAAGTCCCTATACCCGTGGTCGGCCAGCCCGATACTGCCACCGGTCTCGAGCCGTACGCCTCGGCTGGTGGCGGAAACAGGGAAATCGAACTCCACGGTGGTCACGACGACACAGTCGCAATCGGCCACCAGGCTCACCTCGCAGTCCGGCGTTGGAGGAATGGGCAACAGCCAGGGGTCCGACAAGTCTGCACACAGCTGAGTCTCGTCCTTGCAGCTGCAGCACTCGTATTAAGGATCCCGACAACGGACGGTCGGCGACCACCTATAGACGCTCCCGTAACTTCGAGTCCCTCCTGGAACGATCGACGATCCTCATCGAACTTCGCTGGTTCGTTCTTTCTATATAGGAAGTTTCTTCGCGATCCATCGGTACTGTTGACAGCTGTTTCGAGAGTCGTATGGACCGATGGATATCGGCTGGCGGTGGTGTTTAACGTCGGTGGTTTACTTGGAATTATCTTCCTTTGGAAAAGAGATTGCTTCATTGAGGATTGGGATGGTTCCTTATTTAGGAATCTTGGAACTACCAGGTGTAGAATTTACGTTTGAAAGTTCGTGTAATTGTCCTGTCAATCTTTAAAGTTGATTTCTGGTTAATTACTCGGACATGTTCGTTGAGAATTAAAAGATCCAGGCGCCCAGCCACCGACGATGAAACCCAACCGCTATCTCTCTTTCGTAATCATAGACGAAAGTCTTGCAAGTAGCATAAATAACGGGTCCAATCCTCTTCCCGATTGACTGTGTCTTCTAACTGAACGAAACGAGCATGAATATTACGTAGGACACTAGAAAAGATGAATCTCCGACAGTTAGGATCCAAGTCTCGTAGAGATTCTCGAAATGGTGCGCGAAAGGAAAGGAGGGACTCGGAGATACCGAGCGTCCTCTTCCACTCGCTGCGAGCTGCTCCCCTGCCCAACTTGCGTGCCTGAAAACTTTTTTCTTAATATTTAAATTATATATTCGACACACGGACTCCATCTTATCTCTGTATACCTCGTGAACAAAAAAAAAATAACAAACAAATAATGGGCGCGGACAGGCACAACGTCGTGTGTGTGTGTGTACGGTACCAAAGTGGAACGCGCGTGGAGAACGTCTCCCCTCGTTAACGAGACCATTGGGGGTGGCTCTTAAGATGGACTTGGCTGGGGGGTGACGTTTCCTTTTCACCGGCAAAAGAAACCAACCACGAGCCTCCGTAACCCGACGATTTTAGGGAATACAAATCAGCCGATACTCGTGACCGTCGGTTGAGAGTTTTAATTTCGCCACGATATTTGGGAGGGACGGGGACGAAAAATCTAGCGCGGAATATTTTATGAACACTTTTACACGAGGAAGAGACAAGAGAAAAACGCATTTCGGAGCAACGCCCGGACGGACGCGACTCCAATTAAAATTTTAAGTTATTCCTGGACGGGAAAGAATATTCTCGGTCACGTTCCACCCCTAAAATGTCTGATGCACATGGGTTGTCTATCTTGCTTCCCTTCGTGACCCGATTCTTACGTTTCCGCTGATCGGACGAGAGATAACCCGAGCAGTGTACGCCAGTTTCCTTCTCGACCGTTCATGTAATGGCGGAAGTAGTTTATTCAGGTGGTCACGGTGCTTATTTCTGTGTTATTTGCTAAAAATCGAATTTTTCAACCCCTAAAATATACACCATGTAGAGTTACTGCACTAAGGAACAATAGAAAACTTTTGTGATTAATTCCGTTGATTGAATCTGAGTCAAACGACACTATTCCTTCCTGTAATTTTCACTACTTTCTGAATATTATTTAAATGAAAATATTAATAACTAGAAGGTCATCGCGTTGAGTTGTAGCTGGTTCCTCTAGCAAGCAGCTTCCGCCGCCAGTGTACGGTCGATTGAACTCCGAACACTGACACTGCAAGGCTTTTACTGTGTTGAGGGCCAGTTATGTAAACAATAGAACAATGGTAAAACGTTTCATAGTCACCCTTCGTTGAGTTACACGGGAACTTAAGGGCCACCACGGGAAACCACGAAGTAAATCTCCGGGGTTGATGGAGGGAGAATGCAAAGTGATCTTATCCGCTTTAACGTCCGTAGGTTACATAGGATATTATATTGTTAGCGTATACAATGTGTATGTACATGGCGCACGGGTACAAAGGCTACGTTTCCGCCGAAAGGGGGAAATTTTTTATATACGGGCTACGCACAACGGATGGATGCGCGTGTACGGAGTGGTCCAATCACGTAACGTCCCGTAAATATTGATTTTATCGAAAATTCTTGGCGAACGGAAACGTTGCGCATCAAAGAGGAATAGCAAGATTGGCCGTTTGCGAACTTCAAACGATTTCGAGAGCATATACTTAGAATGTTTTCTTTTTTTTGGTAAACTGAACTAAAATTCATTTGTTTGAAAGTATAGACTGTTATAATCTATTTCATTCGGTAACAAAAGTCCTGTGAGGTTGGCTTGCAATCTCGAATCTGATAAAAATTTTTTAACATGTTCAGCAACCCTTAAGCTAAGTCACGAAGAGGTTTATTTTTGTAGTCGTTAGATATCGATACGAGGGATAATTAGAGAATTTTAAAATGTAGGTCGAATTTAGATCCCTAGGACATCAGACGTTTCAGACATATCGTCGACACACCTTGTTCTTTCTATCCAACGATTTTCTTGTAAAATGAATATTCACGGAATCATGGAATCATTGGTACATTCCGTGCACACGCTCAGAGCCGTTGCCAGAAGATAGGCTTAATTAAACGAAATACAACTAGACAAATGGGAATTAATCGATCCGTCAATGACACTTCGTTTCCGTGTCAGTTGCAGGGTTGGAGAAAATAGATCTTCGAATAAAAATATGTATTTAAAAACGTTGTACTATATAACAAGCAAATCTACTACTTCTTTTTCAATGGCAACCACTGAATACTGTTAAATCTAATTACATCCAGATCAGTAAACTGATTTCATTTCTATAGAAAAGATTCGGCATTTCCAATATGTCAACCATTTTCTGTTCGAAGCGCCATCTTGTCCAGCCTGGTAGTCGGATACTTTTTCTCGCGTGTTCGTATCGCACGCGACCGTGGGATCCACCGGGTGGCCGGAAGTCGAAGCGGCCAAGACTTGATTTTATTGTAATAAATCGTTGAGAGGACTCGAGCTTCCGGTCACGTGACATTCGGCCAGCCCCGGATGGCGAAGTGAGCATCGAGCTACGCGGCCGCACGTTTTCACGTTCACGGACACGGAGTTATAAAGTTAATTACGTTAATTGATACTAAACGTTGCAGTTGACTATGTGATCCGGGGGAAAATCAAGTACGTTAACGGGCAACAACGACGGAATTAATCGCGACACGCGATGCCACGATTCATTCCTTCGACGTGGCCACGTATACATATATTACAAACATATTGATAATATATTATGATATTCCGTGACACATTGTTTCGTAATATATTATTAATTTCAAGCGTAACATAGCGTATTACGTTGTCCTCGCAGAATTTCTGACGTACATAACAATTCGTTCTTTCCGAGGTGATCAATCCCGAAGATGTTCAGCCCTCCGAACAAACACTACCGACGACTTATTAGTGAATCCATAAAACCACAGAACAAAAAACAAAAGATAAGCAAGCATAACAAAAGAACGAGAAACGTAACCGTGCATGATCGGCACGTAACCTCGAGATCGAAAATTTTTTGGGGGCAGACAACCGAAACGATCGATTCTTCGTTCCCGGCGGTCGACGGGTCGAAGCTCAAAGTTCTCCGGGGTGAAAGAACAATGAAAAGAAGAAAGGGAAAATTCGATCGGCTGGGAACATTGGTACCCAAGTATGTATGTCTTCGCTCCGACGAAGAGGAGGACTTCTCTGCCCACAAAAGTGGACGTGGGGTTCGTTTACGCGAGAAAAAAAAATGTTGGGACCTGGTTCGTCTTGTCTGTCATTGTTTTTATTTCGAAAGCGTTGTTTCGCGGCTACTCCGAAAACGCGAAACGGGACCAAAGAAAAAAAGACACAAGTGTCACAATGCTTCCCCTCCCCCCCCCCCCCAAACTTCTTTATCTGTCCCACAATTCTCTGGCTGCCTCCATCGTCCTCTTTCGATGCTCCCTCTGTTCACCTGAAGAAAACGTTCCCCGTTCCTTCTGTCCAGAAAACATACATATTTCTCTCTTTCTGTGTCTCTCTTGTCCCTATACCTTCTTATACCGTCTACACCCCCCTCTCTTTCTCTCTGTCGCGGCTCAACGTACTGGACACAACTCCAACACGATATTTTTATATAGATTTCTTAAAAGTGCATTATAGTGCCAGGAAGACCACGCCAAGTTTGAAAAAAAAAAATAACATAATAACGAGAAAACCGAAAAAATAGTCTCGACATCGGAACGTTAGACGATTCAGAGACCGATTCTATAAGTATTATAATGTATAAATATGAGAGCTGTAGGTAGTCATCGAGATCATCGACGGAGCGACGCGTGGAATGGGATCTGTCGATCTGGTCGGCTCGAGGGAAGAATTGGTTTCACGCTCTTCAGTCAATATCCTGTATCCTAAACATCCTTAGTATAAATACTTTCAACAAGTGTATAACTAAGTCTAACAGATCAATATTAATATTAAAATTTTTAAATTCATCCTCTCGAATTAATACTGAATTGCAAAAAGATCCACAGAAGCTCCAGTACCCTAATTTACTCATTATCTGCTAGATATCTGTTCAACTCTCTACCATTCTAACTCCCTACAACGTTATAATGAGATAGACATTTTTCTTAGTCCAAATTTTTGGTCCCTTCTATTCCATCTGGGTTACCATCGTCCATCACATTAGAAGTGAAATTCTTCCTATGGGAATAGGGGGTGGTGGTTAAAGAGGATATCCAATTCTGTTCTCGACCCGGCTGCAGATGTAACCCATGACTTCGTGTGGGCAATACGTGTTCTAACGACAAGATTGACTCGGTAACTTGGCCCCGACCAAGCCGTAGGTGACCGTGATTTCAGGTGCTAACGCGATGTATTAGTCACACGGGGGACAGGTATTACGATCGGCAAAACGAGGGCGTCTCGCGTCGTCGGCTGTTAACGAGTCCCGACGGTGTGTCCGTATAAGCAGCAACGAGCCGCACGATTCTGTCGAATATACAAGCGATCATTTGCACGAGCAAAAACCGGA